GGAATGCCTTAGGCATCAATACAATCAAATCCTTACTGCATACATTTTATAAACAACCTTCAATGGTAAACAGAAATGTGATCGCATTTGGACTCAGTTAACAAGAATTTGAAGAGTTTAAACTTGAAACAAATAGAAAGAATTTATTGTTTTTTTTTCCATTTCTCCCATCAATCATAAATTTATGAGCTCCAAGGAAGAGAAGATAACTGTTTTCTTGCTTTGGGAAATCTCTAAGAGAGAAAGATTCCAAAACTTCCAAGACATCTTTCAATGTATCTCAAAACATATAAGGTCAGTTTTTGATAAAGACGATAGGAGATATATAAAATGACATAGTCTGATCTATCCCTATAAGCAACCGTTCAGCATATGTAAGGGAAAAAACGATCCCAGTCATTCTTTCCTGCTTCTAGTGTCTATGGCTACACTGGCTAGGTATACATACTTCATATTATTACCTAGTATCCACCTTTAAAGGGAACTAAATATATATTTCCAAGTAGTTAGGGAGATGTTTCAGTTTTACATAGTGCCAAATAAATTGGCTGTTTTTGTTTGTTATTTATTCAGTATCAATTTAGTATTCTCCAAAGACAATAGTATTTTCAGTCTGATGTCTGATGCTAGCAATGTTTAGCTGGATGCTTAGAGTACCTGTTTGTCACAGGAGGAGAGCTGACCAAGTCCATAGTTTCAATGAAAACCTTCCCTTTGGAAATGCCAACTCTTCATCTCCCAGTGAGGTACAGCTGGTGAAATTTGAGCCTTGCTCAGCTCTCCATACTAGGAAATAGACTGCCATCTGCCTAGGGCATTACTTTTTTTTTTCTCACAGAATTCCTGGTTTGGGGGGGAGGACGTGTGGGTTGGATCTGGTAAGGCAGAAATATTTTTGCTAAGCCACAGTTTCCAACTGAGATAGACTCGTTTTATTATGCAAAGGAAATGAACTCAGCATTAGTCAATTAATGTCTCAGAAAACTAACTCTGTATGCCACTTGGGCATCAAAGATATCTTAGTTTTTGCTTTGTCATAAACATGTCTATGATTTTGGCCTTTACCCTTATAGTTATTAATGAAAAGGAACAAAGACTTTCTATTTCCAAGTCATTATGTTGGACACCTAAACACCACCATATTTTTCTCAGCCAACGTGTTACGTGTTTTCATTCATTGTGATCAGATTTGAATATCCCAGCCTAAAGCTGCTCAGAAAGAAATTTACTTAATATTTTAAAATTTTAGACATCATTTTTTCTTCTTTTTTTATTAAAAACAGAATTCTAGTTTTAAAAAGGGAGTTAACAGTAAAATATACTTAGGAAATATTATGTACTTTTTAATAGGACTGTCAAATGGCTTTAATCAGTAATTAGCCTGCAAGCTATTCTTGGTAGGGGCCAAATCTCTAAATTTAGAACTGGATCAAAATTCCCTGATGTAATTAAAACTTTAAAATTGTCAGAATGTACATGAATTAGTTAGATACAAAGAATATTTAGGGATTTAGAAGATATTATGCAAACTTCCTAAGTATAAACCAATCTTGAACTGTTCTATAAACTGCTTGAAGAGACTGCTGTATGCTGGTTGAAATGATTAAATATAATAGAACAATAAATTTGGTTAATCTTTCCTGCATTACACTGCTCACATCTGATAGCTCTGCATAATCTAGTTCAATCTCCCTCATCTTTGGCTTGGATCTGCATTCTGTCCTTAAATTACATGGACACGACAGGGGCAATGCTCCTCATCTTAGCCTATTAGCAGCGTTTAGCACAGTTCATCACTCATCCCTTCTCAAGAAGTTTTTCATTTATGGCCTCCTCTTCTTTTCCTTTCACTTTTCTGGCTCGTTTTCTCAGTTTCCTTTGTTAAATCTTTCATATTCTCCTGTTTTCCAATTTGAAATGTCTCACAGGTCAGTCCTTGGACCTCTTTGCTTCTCTGTCTTACACTCAGGCTTAGATGGCCTCTACATTGACTCACATTTCTCTCTCCATCCTTAATCTGTCTGCTAATTTCAGACTTGTATTTCTAATTATCTGCACAGTGTCTCCATTTGGGTGTCTAGTTGACATTTCAGACTTAGCATATCTAAAACCAAATTTCTGTCTTTCAGCTTGAATCTGTGTCTCCTAGAATCATTTCTGTCTTGTCAAATGGTTAACTCCATTCTTGTAATTGCCAGCCTCTAAAATCCTGGAGTCATCCTTGATGCCTTTCTCTCAAACTGCACATTTAATCCATCAGTAAATCCTATTGATTGTACTTAAAGTTTATCCACATTTCAACCACTTCTCACCACCAAGATCAACAACCCCCAGTCCAAGCCACCATTATTTCTCTTCTTGATTTTTACTGTAGGCTCTAGCTAATCTGCTTTCCCTGCTTTATTTTTTTCAGAGATCTTAACCAACCTCTGACTATATAACTATGTCTATATTGTGACTCTGTGTATGTGTGTGTGTGTGTGTGTGTGTGTGTAGGTGTATAGGTACACACGCAAAAGAAAAAACAGTCAGGAGATAGAGATGGATTGTATATGTGTGTGTATGGATGGATTTGGGGACTTTTCAGTGTTGATACAATACCAGCCTACAGAAGCAGAGTAAAGCCTCTGAAATCATACAATGCAGGTTTGAATCTTGATGCTGACACTCTCCTAGCTGGGTGACCTTACTTGGGTAAATTAGTTGACCCTTGTGCCTCAGTTTTCTCATCTGAAAGTTGTCCATACCTTATAGGCTTGTTTTAATGGGTAAATAAACTAATACATAGAAAGCCTTTAACAGTGCTTGTTGCTACCTCAATAAATATTAGCAAATATTATTACAATATATCTTACTTAAAATGACTACAGCCAAGGTGATAAATCAGTAATTAACCCAGTCCTTTAAAGACCATTTAAATACACAGTAGCCTTACACAAGCATCTGTTTCCTCTGTGCTATGGAATGTACAGGTTTAAGCCTATAAAAAACCTGTAATTTGAGACCTGATACAAATGCATTTGAGCAAATCTTTTTCATTTGCACACAGTTTTTATCCAAACTGAATCTCAAAACAGAAAAAAAGCAAACGGACCGCCTATTTCTTCCCCACAGCCTTGCCCCATAACTTTTTGTATTCAGTCAAGGACAGAATTGTTTGTTTTGTTTTATCCTCTGACCCAGAGGGCTTGGGTTGTAGGTAAGGTCCTCTTACCCACTACCTTGTTCCATAGGGAATCAGATTACAACGTCTCCCTTCATGGGCCTGCCAGTTTCACTGCAATTCCCTTTTTGTGTTTCTGGTTGTTGTTTTGTTTTGTTTTTTTTGCGGTACGCGGGCCTCTCACCGTTGTGGCCTCTCCCATTGCGGAGCACAGGCCCCGGACGCGCAGGCTCAGCGGCCATGGCTCACGAGCCCAGCCGCTCCGCGGCATGTGGGATCTTCCTGGACCAGGGCACGAACCCCCCGTGTCCCCTGCATCGGCAGGCTGACTCTCAACCACTGCGCCACCAGGGAAGCCCTGTATTTTTTTTTATTTTTTATTTTAGCAGTATAACTTTATTTGCCCTTATTATTAGATGAGTTTTAAAGTAAATACTGTAGTTTACATTTCGGTCTGTGATGCATTTTGAGTTAATTTTTGTGAAGGGTGTAATGTCTATGTTTATATTAATTTATGATGACCTTAGGTTTGGTAATGACTTGGATACAACACCAAGAGCATGAGTCATGAAAGAAGTAATTAATAAATCAGGCTTCATTAAAATTAAAAACTTCTGCTCTGTAAAAGATATGGTCAAGAGAATGAGAAGCCAAGCCACAAACTGGGAGAAAATATTTGCAAAAGACATATCCAATAAAAAGACCGTTATCTGAAATATAAAGAGCTCTTAAAACTCAACAATAAGAAAACTAACAACCTAATTTGAAAATAAGCTAAAGATCTTAGCAGATACTTCACCAAAGAAGGTATACAGATGGCAAATAAGCATATGAAAAAATGCCCACATAATATTTCATTAGCGAAATGCAAGTTAAAACAATGAGGCACCACTACACACCTACTAGAATAGTGAAAATCCAAAACACTGAGAACACCAAATGCTGACAAGGATGTAGAACAACAATAACTTATTCATTGTTGGTGGGAATGCAAAATGGTACAGCCACACTGGAGACAGTTTGGATGTTTCTTATAAAACTAAACATACTCTTACCATACACCCCAGCAATTGCACTCATTAGTATTTATTCAAATGACCTGAAATTTATGTCCACCCAAAAACCTGTACACGATATTTATAGCAGTATAGAGTCATTGACTGTAAAAAATGTACCACTCTGATGTGGGATATTGATAGTGGAGAAGGCTGTGTGTGTGAGGGGGCAGGGAGTATATGGGAACTCTGTACTTTATGCTCAATTTTGCTGTGAACCTAAAACTGCTCTAAAAATTAAAGTCTATTTTAAAAAATGAAAAAAATATAAAGTAAATACTGTAGGAATAGGCTTTTTCTTTATTGTTTTCCAAGACTGTGACCACAATACTCTATTAAGCTTTATTAAATTGTTTTACACATCACCTGCAGAGGGATCACCTCAGGAGCTTGTCAAATGCAGACTCCTGGGTCACACACCTGGAAACTTATGAGTCTGCATTTTAACAAGAAGCTTGGTAATGTTACGCACAGTAAACTGAGAGCCACAGTACTGCAAGGAAAACTTCGCATATGATTTATTTTACCCACTTAATATTTGCCATGTCAACTTTGGATTCCTTTTCTCTGCTTCAAAATTGGTTTTTTAGGGCTCCCCTGGTGGCGCAGTGGTTGAGAGTCCGCCTGCCGATGCAGGGGACGCAGGTTCGTGCCCCGGCCTGGGAAGATCCCACATGCCGCGGAGCAGCTGGGCCCGTGAGCCATGGCCGCTGAGCCTGTGCGTCCGGAGCCTGTGCTTCACAACGGGAGAGGCCACAACAGTGAGAGGCCCGCAAACAGCAAAAAAAAAAAAAAAAATTGGTTTTTTAATGGGCATTTAAGGAAGAACTTAAATCTGATGTAGAAACATAGTATAAAAAGTTAGTAGTAGTTGCCTCTGGATGGTTGGATTACAGGTGATTTTTATATTTTCTCTGCTATTTCTTCAAGTAGTTTATCATAAACATGTGTTATGTTTTGAACTAGAGATAAGGCTATACATATGTATCATAGAAAGGTGCCTGAAAGAAAATACATCAAATATTAGCCTTGGTGTGTCTTAATGGTGGTTTTATGAATGATGTTTATTTTTTTATCTTTAAGATTTCTTTTTTTCAAATTATTCATCAAATAATTATCTTCGGTTGGAGAGATACTGGCTTCTCTCCAACAGAATGGAAATTGTGTGTGGTTTACTTAGTGGGGAATTAGGAGAGAAGGAGAATTTGGAGAATGTTATTTGATAAAATCTTAAATATCAAAGTATCTGCCATAAAGAATAAGTCTTATGAATATTTTTCATACAAGTAATGATCTTATAACAGTAACGCCCTGTATTTGCAAATCCTAGTACGAAATCGTGGGCAGTAGCAGCTGCTCCTAGAATACCCATAGATATAATTGTATTAATTATCATATTGTGTGAAATATATACAGTACCATATTTAACTTTCATGTATGTAATATGCTATATTTAAATGCATGTACATGTAAATGTCTATAAAAAAGTTTTTTAAATAATGGTTTTGTTTTTTAATACTATTAAATAATGCCTTTGGTGTATAGAACTGAGTTCTGTTTTCTTCAGAGATGAGAGCTCCCCACTATTTCCTATTCCTTTTCAGACAGCCTGAAAGGGACGTGTTGGCTCAACATCCAGGACAACCGCTGTGAGGTGAACATCAACGGAGCCACTCTGAAGTCTGAATGCTGCGCCACCCTCGGGGCTGCCTGGGGGAGCCCCTGTGAGCGGTGTGAACTAGGTAGGAGCCTGGCCAGCGGGCTTCTGGGCTTCTCATCGGAAAGCTTCTTCCTCAATAGGCATCTCTTTCTCTTTATATTTCCATCATGAGGAAGACCATAAGATCATTACCCTCCCCAACATGTTGCCTTTTCTGGTAAAATGTATTCACTTCTTGAAATATGTATTTGGTTTATCCTTTTACTATAAACAGACCTTCTGAATAGTTTGGATAAGGAAGGGAATCAACTAGAATTTAGCTACTGGGTGACTATCAGTATCCTCCAATATTCTTATTTGTATGTGTCCCGGTAGAGTATGATGTCTCTTTTCTCTAAATCTTTTGTTTACTTGTGATTTGGTTGACGGTGTGAAAGCAAAAGGAAATTGTAGGAAAAATTATGAGAATCTCAATATGGGTCAACACCGATGGAGTTACCACAGCATGTCATGTGCTCCACTGAATTGAACAGAGGGCAGCTGGAGTCCTTTGCCTCTAAAGCCCAGATTGTGGTTTTTATTGAGTTCAATTTAGATTCCATTATACTGTTTCTTGAGCTTAAGACAGTTGTGTTTTTTGTAATGAAGTAAAATGTGTCCTTTGTTCTCACAGATACAGCTTGCCCAAGAGGGTTTGCCAGGATTAAAGGTGTTACTTGTGAAGGTGGGTGCGTTCTTGAATGACATTGTTAAGTCTTTAGAGCAGTATTTAAAATTAACATTCACTGGGGCTTCCCTGGTGGCGCAGAGGTTGAGAATCTTCCTGCTAATGCAGGGGACACGGGTTCCAGCCCTGGTCTGGGAAGATCCCACGTGCCGCGGAGCAACTAGGCCCGTGAGCCACAACTACTGAGCCTGCGTGTCTGGAGCCTGTGCTCCGCAACAACAGAGGCCGCGATAGTGAGAGGCCCGCGCACCACGATGAAGAGTAGCCCCCGCTTGCCCCAACTAGAGAAAGCCCTCGCACAGAAATGAAGACCCAACACAGCCAAAAAAATAAATAAATAAACAAATGTGGGGGTAAAAAAATTTTTTTTTTAATTAATTAAAAATATTAACATTCACTCTCACACTTTGGAGATATTTATCACTTTCAAAAACCTTGGAATTTCAATAAAAATACTAGATGTAGTCAACAAATGTTTTAGAATAATATTCTTAGGAAACAGCTTAGAATTTCCCATTTCTCCTCTTTATGCTGTTGGGTGAATTTTTGTGAGGACATCACTAGCCTTTAAGGCACAGAACAGCTGGCAAAGGTGTATGTCTGGGATGTGTTTTATGGACGGGCAAGACTGTGGTAGTTTTCACAGCTGGTACCCAGGAAACCTGGTGGCTTCGTTGTGGAATATTTCTGCTTAACTCAAGTAATAATCCACATTGTATTGCAAAATGAATATGCTATACAGGAAGTAAGACTACACCTGCTTTTTCTACTTGTAACATCTTTCTCTCTCTGCTTGCTTCATTTCCCTGCAGACGTTAATGAGTGTGAGGTGTTTCCTGGCGTTTGCCCAAATGGACGCTGTGTTAACAGCAAAGGATCTTTTCATTGTGAGTGCCCTGAAGGCCTTACGTTGGATGGAACTGGCCGTGTGTGTTTGGGTAAGTCCATGCTGTCTTGTGTTTTATGCATGAAACCAAGCATGAATTTTCTTATTTTTTTGGATAGGGCCTGACCAAAACTATTTGGTCTATAGCTGGAAAACTTGCTTTAAGTGAGATATTTGGGGGACACTCACCAGAGGATATTTTTAAAGTGAATGAATTTAAATGAAATGGTTTCTGTATAATACAGAAAGTTAGTATACTCACAAATTTATCTCAAAAATGCATCTTCCCCGACTGAAACTGTACCTATTAAACACTAACACCCCATTTATCCCTCTCCCAGCCCCTGGCATCCATGCTTCTACTTTCTGTCTGTATGAATTTGACTACTATAAGTGCGTCATAGGAAAGGAATCATATGATATTTGTCCTCCTGTGACTGGCTTGTTTCACTTAGTGTGGTGTCTTAAAGGTTCATCCATGTTGTAGCATGTATCAGTATCTCTCTCCTTTCTCAGGCTGAGTGGTGTTCCATTGTATGTATGTACCACATTTTATTTGTGTACTCATCTGTCGATGGACACTTGGGTTTCAGCTGTTGTGAATAATGCTTCTATGAGCGTGGGCGTACAAATATATTTTCGGGTCCCTACTTTCACACACACACAAAAATGATAAGTTCTTTAATCAGATATTTTAGGCTGTTTAGTCTTTCACGCTGAGTCAGTGGAAGAAGAGAACTATGTATATTTTGAACATAGAAGAAAAATTGGAGACTCGCGTTTGAAGTTTAACATTTACCAGCCCATTGCAGCTATGCTCCTTGACAAGACAGTGGGGAAAGTCATGGCAAAGTTATGTGGCTTCTGTGTGAAAACATTGACTGATCCTACCCCTTCCTTTACCATCTTCAGAATTTAAATTTTCTTAATGCTTTATTTTTTTAAGATTTTAAATAAGGAAGCTCTTTCTGTCAGCATTGTATTATAGAAATGCCTAGCTGACTTTATTTTTTATCAGTGTTATTCTTGACTAAACTTAAGTTTCATTGATTCTGTGTTGTCTCTGAACAATTTTTTATTTACTTAAGGGATTTTTTTCCCCAATATCTTATGAAACAGTAAGTTTTTAGTTTGTAAAATAACTTTACATAGGCTTGTATTTGAAATTTAAGCTTGTAGACAAAGTGTGAGCAATGGTAGTATTATATTCCAAGATCTTCAAGGTGTTTAAATAGGTATTCTAAAATTATATATTAACTAAGTATTCAAAATATTATATATTAAAAATTATTCCAAAACTATATAATAAATATTCTTAAATTATTCTATTCAAAGATCTTTAAGGTAGTTTAAAAACAGGGATTTTTAAAATTAGTAGTAGGAAAAAAGTTTGCAACGGCATACAGTTTAGTTATTATAATTAACACAAATTTCATTTTAAACTAAGTTTTGACAGCATATTTAAATTTGGATACAAAGTATGACTGTAAAATCATATGAAAAAAAAATCATATGGAATTGTTTAGAAATTATAATATCCAAAGTCCAGTTATAAAGAAAACTTCTTTTTGGAGTTTTATTCTTAAATAATCTCCAAAGTTTAGAAAAAAGTAAAGTATCTTTTGAAGATGACAAAGTAACAGTATCAGTATGGTCCAATAACTAATGAAATCAAATTGCCTTCAGTAACTAAATGATGCTATATATGAATTTATATCACTGATTTTAAATTATCACTCAGCAAAATAAATTCTCAGTAATATCACTCAAAATCATGCCTTTGTAATATTCTAAGAGGATATATTGGATTCTTCATCCTTGTACTTTTGTTAAATGCTTTTTTTTTAAACATCTTTATTGTTAAATGCTTTTTGTCACTACTTAAATTTTGCTACAATAATTTACCGTGGCTGTGAATGTGAGAAGGTTTCAAGAGATTGGCATATGAAAATGGAAAATATTCTGAGAACAAAAGAGATAAACTGCTCTGATAGAAGTTGATCTAAATCAGGAGTTCCAAACTCAGATGCTTGCAGGGGCCAAAAAGTTAACATAAATGAGTGAGGTGGTAATAAGGAATAGTGGAGACTGCAACAAACTGTAAAGCACATGTACTATCCAAAGGTTTCCAAAATTAATATTAAAATCAAAACATTCACAGGCCATATGTTGACAATGTTTTGATTCCTGATGTAAATATTGATATGAAACTCAGTAGTAAAGGCACAGGATTACTCTACCAGGCTCTTATAACTTTTTACATATGTAATTCAAACACTTTTTTTCCCCACTAATCCCAGAATTGCTCATATTTCAGTGGCCCTAAAATATGCTAAAGTTATTTATTCTTTCTGATGTCAGTGATACAAAAAAAGGATCATAGCTGATGATAAGAAGGAATCTTATCCCAAGGGAACCTTTTCTTCCTGAAGGTGTCAGGTGAGAATTAGGTAACACTGAAGGAGAACCCACCTGTTCTCTCTTTAAAGGACTGTCATTACGGTAACCATTTCAGGAGGTCAGGGACTCTGTCTCCTGCTCATTAGTGTGTCGCCAGGGCCTGGCCTCATCCCAGGGCCTAAGCAGGTGTTTGGTATGTGAATGTTCAGTGCATCTTACAGCTTAATCTCAAACTGTGGTTCCCTCTCCCTGTAGATATCCGCATGGAGCAGTGTTACTTGAAGTGGGATGAGGATGAATGCATCCATCCTGTTCCTGGGAAGTTCCGCATGGATGCCTGCTGCTGTGCAGTCGGGGCGGCTTGGGGCACTGAGTGTGAGGAGTGCCCCAAACCTGGCACCACGGAGTACGAGACCCTGTGCCCCCGGGGGCCTGGCTTTGCTAACAGAGGGGACGTTCTTACTGGGAGGCCATTTTACAAAGGTAACCGTCAGCAGCGCATTTGGTCCCTCTGCACTAAAGCTCACCTTCCGCATTCTCTGAAGATTGATTTTGCCTTAAACATTTGATTTCCCACTTTATTTTCTTTGTTAAACAAAACATGAGACCAGCCTTATGGCCCAGGAGTATAAATCACCTGTACAAGTTGGTGTTGAAGTGAAGATACTAAAAAAGACAGCTAATCTCACTTTTCTTACAGCCTTCTACTGTACTGCTGCTTTCCTCAGCACAGCCTGACGAGATGCAGCCCTGATGTTGCAAAAAGTTCTCTATCTCCCCTAAACTTTACAAAACAAATGGTCAGAAATAAAGGGATCAGAACTGTTCAGTAAAAATACAGAATCTTTTTCGCAGTTGACACTTCCTGTGTGGCATCAATGTAATCACTGAAAAATTTGATATCCCCCATTTTTACTTGAGTACATTCTTTTCCATCATGTTAGATTTTTAACTTAAAATGATGGACCTACCCTTTTATTTTTTAACATCTTTATTGGAGTATAATTGCTTGACAATGTTGTGTTAGTTTCTGCTGTATAACAAAGTGAATCAGCTATACATATACATATGTCCCCATATCCCCTCCCTCTTGAGCCTCCCTCCCACCCTCCCTATCCCACCCCTCTAGGTGGTCACAAAGCACCAAGCTGATCTCCCTGTGCTATGCGGCTGCTTCCCACTAGCTACCTGCTTTACATTTGGTAGTGTATATATGTCCATGCCACGCTCTCACTTCATCCCAGCTTAAGGGTAAGCTGGACCTACACTTTTATATCAACCGGCTCTACATTCCAGCTCTGTTCTGCCTGTAGATATCAATGAATGCAAAGCATTCCCTGGGATGTGCACGTATGGAAAGTGCAGGAATACAATTGGAAGTTTCAAGTGCCGTTGCAATAGTGGCTTTGCTCTAGACTTGGAGGAAAGAAACTGCACAGGTGAGAGTATTCTTCTGTTGTACTGGGTAAACCTTGGCTCTCTTTCTTTTGCTATTGGGAAGTACTCTGCCTTTAAAAGCCCATCTTCTCACTAGGAACATGTACATCGTTCTTTTTATTTCCTTTTCCCGATGCCTAAACCACTTCTCCAGCAAACTTGTTGTGAGAGAGCTGCAAAAGAGCATGAAAATAATATCTGTGCTACCTACAAGAACAGTATAACAGTAGGATTTTCAGAATATATGAGTACTAAAGAATATAGCCATTAAATCAACACTTGTGTAAACTTGACATTCTGTTACAAATTTTAAGGTTTGTAATAGAGGAGTTGTAACTTATTTTCCTCATCTGTGGGCAGTTTTCTTAATATTATGCTTCAGTCACAATCCATATCCATACCCTTGTCCTCCTCTCTAAGAAAATATACAAAATTCCAAGTTTTTCTATTAGGTAATATAACAAATTATTCCAAACACTTGAAGTATGTCTCCAAGGTCTTATTTTCAGAACTCTCGTTTTTCATATTCTCTTTGGAGTTTTCCCTCTTCTGCCCCCACTACGCATTCATGATCTCCATTGAAGTGTCTCTCTTGACTTCTTCCTGGTTTCGTACTCCATAGGATCCTAGTGATTCACTCCTGGCCCTAGACTATCCCCTAAGCATTTCACAACTATCCATCTGGTCTTGTGGAGTTCTGCCGTCTTGTCTTTCTGCCGTGCCTTCCATGCCGATCCCCGACTCCTAACCCCCTCACCACTGTTTTCTCCACTCAGGGCTGCTGAACTTGGCGGGGAGAGCCTGAGAAAAGGTGACCGAGGTCCCTGCATTCACCCTCAACCAGGCCTTTGCAGCTGCTGAGCAATACTTGTATTCACCTCTTTACGTCCCTTAATAAATTTCTCTTAGCGGCACTTCTAAACCTCTTCTGACTTACACACCCTCTCGTATCGCTGTTCTTTCCTTTTCTTCTTTATTGAAGTCAAACCTGATCGCCAGGGCCCTTCTCACACACCCTCTTCTCTGGTATAAAGTGTGCTTTTCCAGCCCTGCTCTTTCCTCCACTTCCAGAGAAGGAAATGTGATGTTCTTCTGCGACTTTCCGGCGAAACTCTCTGCTTTCAGTCTCCTTCCCTCTTTCTGCTTCAGGCCCTTCTTCGCAGAGTTCACTCCTCTCTCTCTGGCATCTCCCCCTCTTTACCGGTGTCTTTCC